CTATGTCTATAAAGAAATTGTTGAGGGCAAAGTGCTCCAGTTCCTGTGTTTGTACCAGGGCAGGATGGTGTACTAGAAAAAGTGAGATGTGGAGTTTGCCCAGCTGGGTTTACTGGTAGAAGACACTGAGATGGAGTTTGGGGTACCAGAAGTTTATTACAGATCAACACCTCTGAAAGAAAAGGAGAGGAAGTAGGATTGAGCAGAGAGAGAAGTCAAATTGCCATGGAAACCTGATAAAGCCTCATCAATCGGGCAGGGAGCTCTGGAGTACTGTCTATCAGTGACTCTGGAAGGGTACAATCTGGGACAGAGTGGCTGTCCGCAGATAAGGCAGACTCTGCAAGAACTGACAGCTGGAGACTCTCTGCTGACCTCACTTTCTTCTGTTGGGCAGCAAATCCTTCCTTGAGGGAGACCTGGGTGGTGCATCTTTGTGTCTACCACTGTCCATCCCCTGTACCTCTCCTTCTGGATTCCTTCGGCCCTCTCTTCCAGAGAAGAAACTTAGAAGAGTGTTGTTAGTGGGATTAACTACAGCCCTTACCTCTGAAGCTGGTCTTGGGCTGCAACTGATAGCATCTCCTTCCTTCAGAATCCATCTAGGTCACGCTCACCCTTAGCTACTGCCCTCTAGTGGCCTCAGTAGCTTACTGGCCTCTCTTGTCTCCATTCCCTTTTCCTAGATGAGCTTTTTCCCACTGGAGCACTAGAGCAGGGCTTTCTATCCCCTTCTGGTATTCGGCCTGCCAGGGCCAGGGGCCAGCCTTACACAGACCCGATTGGAGGGGGGCTGGGTAGGCTCTGACCCAAGAAAATGCCCTTTACAGGATCTGCCTTGAGGCCAGAAAGCCCATCATGACAAATTCATTACTTTGGCCTAAGGCTTCATATACTAATAAAATAATCTCCCTGCAACTTGTTTTACCTTTCCGAACATAGCACACATCACTGAAACCATTCAGTGTGAGTTTAGCATATCCTCTCCAGAGAACACAATTTGAGGGACAATACAAGGTAGGACAAATGTAGGTTTACAGTTGTAAGTATGTGAAACATTATTCTTGTATTGTTATTTATTAATTATTGTACTATTTTCCAAACCAATAACTGTAAACCTACTTTTGCCCCACCCTGTCTGTGTGGAGTTTGCTGAGAGTAATAGCTGGGAGGAGACAGATGGACTTGATCTATTTCCCCTTGTCAGCTATGTAATAATAATAATAATAATGGTGGTGATGCTGACAACAATGGTGACATTTACTGACTATATGTGATCTCATCTTATTCTCTCAACAACAGTATTTATTAATTCCATCCTACAAAATGAGGGAACCAAGCTACTGGGAATTTATGCAACTTGCTCAAAATCACATGGCTAGGAAGTGGATAATCGAAGTTTGTGCACTTAATCTCTGTTTTACTGTGTTTTCCTGGAGAGAGGAGCAACTGTGGTATTTATCTTTTATACATCTCTTTGAAACTTGAGCGCTCATCATGGACTTAACTGGATATTATGACCAAAATCTCTTAGGCCTTTTGTTTCCAAAACAAAAATGATGGCAGCCAAAGGTACAGTGGCACCCAAAAATTTTTTTTCCTGCAGTTCGTTATCTGGAACTTGGTCTTTATGTCATGAGAACTTCATTCTCTAGTCTACATGCAAATGAGCAAAAAGTTGGAATCACAGTAATTTTCAGAGTAGAACCTCAAATGGGGCTTTAAAAGTCAGCAAAATGTAGCATCCCAGTGTTCTAATACATTGCTGTTCGAGGCCTCTTTGAAGCCAAATAGACCTTCCACATTCACATTCCAGAAATGCCCCCACCCCTGCCCCCATTGTGGCCTGGAAAAATTCTTCTTATCCTTCAAGGTTCAGCTCAAATGTCACCTCCTTTATGAGGTCCTTCCCAACCCCACAGGCAGAATTAACTGATCCTCCTATGTGCTCCCACAGCACTTTGTATTAGCACTGCTAGTATAGCATTTACCATGTTCTTTCAGTTAGTCACATAAGTAAGGTCATTGAGGTCAGAGACCTGTCTTATTCATAAATCCTTTTATCCTCACATCCCCAGCCTAGCACATACCACATTTCATCAAATCTAAAACTCCACTGATTTTAAAATACATCATTATTTTATGAAACATTAAGAAAGGGGGGGGGAACCCACTGACAATTATACTATAACATGCCAACCATTTCAAGATGTACCCCAAATTCAGGGATGTTAAAATACTTTTTAAGTGTGTCTTAGAAGTTATTAACTGTGGTAATAACTATGGTTATCAGCTAATGTTTCTAGAACTGGATTGTAAACCCAAGGTAGAGCAGATATTCCTAGAGCCATGTGACAGCCCATGTTCCCTAGTAAGGAAGGAACTGGTATTTGGTGGGGAATGGTTTGCAATTGCATTGCTAATTTCAAGTATTTTACCTAACAGATTAAAGGGATGAGTACCTGATGTGCCATTCTTGTTAAAAGTAAAAATACCTCCACATCTCCAATTCGATATACTAAAAAGGACAATGACAATATATTCTGATCAAAATTGGGAGCCACCTAATTCAATAAGTGAGTGTGATTATGGAGACAGTGGGACAGAGTATTACTATCTGCTTTGATTCTGGTTCTTTAAGCCACTTCAACCCACTGCTGTTCCCATCTGCCCAGGACAAGGAACTGGCCAGCTTTCTCCCAGCTTATTTCAGCACTGCTTTTAAAAATAAAAGCATCAAGCCCTGGCCAGTTTGGCTCAGTGATTAGAGCATCAGCCCTCGGACTGAAGGGTCTCGGGTTTGATTCTTGGTCAAGGGCACGTGCCTCGGCTGCAGGCTCGATCCCTGGTCCAGTCAGGGCCCATGTGGGACGCAACCAGTCAATGTGTCTCTCTCACATTGATGTTTCTCTCTCTCTCCCTTCCCCCCCTCCCTCTTTTCCACTCTCTCTTAGGAAAATCAGTGGAAAAAATATCCTCGGTGAGGATTAACAAAAAAATAAAATAAAATATAAAATATAAGCATCAAAACATATGAACCCTTCCCAGCTCCACACTGTTGGCTCTGCTACCTTGGCTTCCATTCTCCTTAGCCCTCTGGATTTGGGGATTGTCCATTATCTCCCTGGCTAGTGTCTGGACCTAGGCTTTCCATAGGGTGGGCCTTGCAGGGGCTCCACATCCCAGGATGTCCCCATCGGAATCTATTTTCCGCCTGCCAGTGTGGCTCAGTTGGTTGAGCTTCATTCCCACGAACCAGGAGGTCACAGTTCAATTCCAGGTCAGGGCACTTGTCTGGGTTGCAGGCTCGATCCTCAGTAGGGGGCGTGCAGGAGGCAGCCAGTTGATGTTTCTCTCTCACTGATGTTTCTATTTCTCTCTCCCTCTCCCTTCCTCTCTCTGAAATCAATAAAGACATATTTTTTGGAAAAAAATCTATTTTCCGGTTCCTTCCGGGAAATACAAACCCCCCACCCGAGAGCTGGGCTAAGCCATGCACTTATCTTTTCCGGATCTCCCTCCACCACACTCTTTCCCCACCCTCAAACATACAAGTGCACATACACACTCATGCCAGATAAACCAAGTTGTCACTTAAGACTTTAGACTGGTGGTTGGTTGATAGAAATCCTCCTGGAGTAAAAGCTCCTCTTTAAAATTAAAATATACTAAGATGCTTGAGTCCAGGAGCTTAATACAATTTGTGAAATATTTTAACATGTAAGCAGCTCTGCACACTAATAGTCAGAAGCTGAGTGTCTTTCTGGGGCAAGGACAAAGGGATAATTTTTAAGGGGATGATGGAATAGGGCAAAAACCTCCTAGTTTGCTTTTGTACCTAGACCCTTGGTGAGAAGCCAGTGACCACCCCTTTGAGTGGGCTGCCAGTACCTGGGTTATCAGGACTAACTTATCAGGACTAACTCAGAAGGTGCCAAAGGTGATTATCTTCCAATTTAGACCAGTCCTCCCAGGCTAGGCGAGCCCTGCTCAGCCTTCAGATCAGCTTAGTTTGTTTCCATTCAGTGCCTTCCCCAACCTTAACCAGTAAAAATGAAACAAGATAAAGGAGAAGGAGCTCATTTAATCCCTCTCCTGATTTAGTAATGACACAATATTTGGAAATGTTCAAAATATAAAGAAGAGACTTTCTACATTTCTTTGAAAGGGGGGGTGTCTGAAATGTAGGTCCCCCAAAGTACTAGAACTGAGTACATTTGATGCTATAGGAGTTTTACTTCTTCACAGGTACAGTTACACTTGCAAATAAAATACTGTGGTAAAAGCACAGAACATTAGAAGTGAACAGAATCTGGATAACAGTTCTACTCCCTCATTTTATAGATGAGGACTTTTAGGACTTATAATTAGTGAATGGCAAAGCAAGTCCTAGAACCCAAGTGTCCAGACTCCCAGTCTCAAGATTTCCTATATGGAAAGATACCTAAACCCTTACAATTGTATTCCACCCTCATAGTCTGTAATTACATTTTGTTCATTGGACTTAAAAATAGCATACAAATAGAGCTCCAATTACAAAAAAAGTCGTGGTTGATACAAACAAATGCAAAGAATCAACTGCCCATTGTTTTCACCAATGGACTGAAGCAGCACGTTTATTCTCTAAAAGTATAAAATAAATTGTCATTGCCCAGGCCCCTAACAGGGCTGGATTCCTGTATAAATCAAGCCAGCTCACTAACAGCTTACCTAGCCAACACCCAACACCTTTCACTCCAGTCCGAACTAGCTGGTGATGTAAGCTGGGCAGGAAGCTTATAAATGCCCATCCCCACCCTGGTAGAATTTTGGAACAACTGTGTAAACAACGCCCCTTGGTGGTGAACATAAGAAAATGCAAAAGCCAATGCTAACAAATCAGAGATCTAGCAAAGGTCATAGCTTGTCTCTTAAGTCGTCTTCTAGTCTATGGGAACCTTGGCCAAGTGAAGGGAAAACACATGGGGAACACAGCAGGGGAGAGAAAAATCTGCATTTTTTCCTGGAGATGTTTATATGTGCCTAATTAAGGTTAGATCTCAAAGAAAGCATATACATTTTTGTATCCCATTGAGTCTGAACAGGCAGCTATAAGAGCCACAGCCACATGTTATGTTATACATATAAACATGATTTTTATTATTAACATCAATGAACACAGACGAAAGAATGTTCACATGCCAAGGACATAATGCTCACAAGATCATGAAAAGGCTATTGATTTGTGGTCATAAATGATTTGGTGAGTCACTACAAGTCTGAGTGAAATAATATTAAAAAAGAGATTTCTGAAGCTTCATTTCCATTTAAACCCCTGCAATAACTCCATTAGAAAGAGAAAGCAGATGCTTTGAAATTGACATCTATACATTTTACAGATGCATGGATTCACCAAAAATGAAAATTACACCCCATTAAACACATTTTTAAAAGTACACAAAGAAAGCACAAGAAACTGATTTGGCTCAATGACTTGCCTAATTAAAGGCGTTTTATTTTTTTTGTTTTAAAAAAAATCCCCTGTAAAGCTGTCAAGGGTACTTGATGTTACAGAAGAAAAGTGTTTTCTAAGCAACTCCAGGGCCCTGTTATTTCTTGCTTGCAGGCTCTTCTCAGTTCTGAGTTCATTCTTGATAACATCGAGCTCTCCATGGATCTTTTCCATTTCCAATTCATAATACAATTTTATTTCTTCTTTTAGGAGCACATTTCCAACCTCAGTCTGATGCTTTAACTTCTTCACAGCTTCTTTTAGATCTCTGTTCTCTAGGCTCAGCTTGTGGATGACTTCTTTGGCTTGCTGGAGCTCTTTAGTTAAGTTTTTGACATTTGTTGCTTTTTCAGATAGGTCATTTCTTAAAGATTGAAGTTCCCAGTTTTTCTTCAAAGTTTCCGGCCCTGTTTCTTGAAAATTTAGGGCTTTTGTGGAGACTTCCTTTTTGGCGTTCAAAAGTTCTTTTTCAGCATTTTCAAATTCCTCTTCTATTTTCCTGCATTTCATATTGAGTTCTTCTAGTTCTCCATTCAAAATATTCAGGCTAAAATTTGGAGACTTTCCTTCAGTAAATTTCTTCTTGTCTCGTCGCCATGGAACTGGAAATTCCTTTGTATTCCAGACGCAGTGGTCTTCGGTGCTATTAAAGCTTTCTTCAGTTGCAACATCCAAATTACATGATTCGCAGGAGACAGAGTCTGTGTCGGCTTCATTCTTTGAAATGTTCATCTTTCTCTCTCTTAAATTTGGTTCTTGTATTTTATTTGGTTGGGAAACAAATTCTTTCCTCCTAAATTTATTCTCTTCTTGAAACTTCCTGCTAGACAAATTATAAATTCCTTCCATCCTTTTGGTCTTACCTAAAGTCAGGTGTCCAGGAGAAGATTCAGGCTGTAAAGCCTCATTCAGAACATCATGAGCACTAAAAGAAGGAGCAAACATATTCTCTTTCCAATGTTTTCTCCTACCATCCATTTCTTCAAACACCTCTTCAAATTCCTGAAAAAAAGTTTTAAAATCAAAACACATTATTTACATTGGCAGCTGGCAGTGTGAAAACAACTAAGAATGCTGGCTCATGGGTGAAGGAGCCTAAATATTTGAAGGCTGCCTCTCCCGGTAACTCATGAAGCGGCCTGGGCCTCAGTTCCCTCATTTGTAAATTGAAAGGGCTAAATTAGTTACGTTCTACAGATCGTTCCAGCTTTAAAATTCTCTGATACTATGAAATATAACCAACAAATTGACACATTTGGTTATTTATTGTAGGCAGAGAAAATAATTCTATGAGAAAACAATGATACACATGAAAACAGACTGATTCAAAAATGTAAAAGTGATTTAAAATTAATAGGCTAATATTAAAATAGGCTAATACCTGTGCTTCCAATTTCCCTGATTTTTTTCTAGTTCTTTTGGGTAGGAATACTGTTTATTCATTTTTTAAAGTGACTAAAACATCAGGGCTTAATGCAATACGAGCTGCTTTTGGTAAAGTATACCATGCAGACTTCCTCATGACTAACTCTGCCAAATGCCCTTCTGTCTTGACCTGTGAATTCCTGCTATTCCAGTCTTGGGCTTTGCTTTTAGGCATGACTGCCAAGTGTACAGAACTCTATCCATTTTGACAGCAATTTCATGATGAGGACCGAATGTCAACAATTGAAAATATTAATGCCACCAAATGTGTTTTTCTGGAGATATTGATACCAAGTGTAGTTTTTAGGTGAAACCTTAGCATGCTAAATCACAACCAACTTTCTAAATACATAAAAATTAGAGGATATTTATTTTGTTTCTTCCCTATTCAAAGGGAATCCTTAACATACAGCACTCCTAAAGCATGGACATCTTTGATAGGTTACTACTTCTGTGAGAAGGGAGAAAGAAGGAACCAGGTAACACACTGAAAGGCCACTGGCATCTGAAGCCAACAAACTAAAAACTGCAGTTACCGTTAAAGGGTTGGAAGAAGGAAGGGGTCACTTCATTCATTTTATACATTAACTTACTGTAATATATTTGTGGTATCACCACTGAGAAAGATCAAATTATGGCTGCATCTATTTTTCCCATGCACACAAATGTAATTTTATCTTGGTAACAAAAAATGGCAACTGTTGTATTTATTTTAAATTAATATTTTCTTTAATATTATTAAAGATGATAAATGTTATATATTATATAATATATAATACATATTTATATAATATTTCATATTATGCAAAGATTATAATAGTGCTCATTATTTGTAGAATTTTGGAAAATACAGAAACGGAATCTACCTCATGATCCCGTGGCCCTAAGACAACCACTTTTTGATATCTTATCTCTCTAGTATTTTCTTTTTAGCAACAGTAGTTTAAATTTTAACAGATTTCCTTCCTACCAACAATGAGAGGATAAACTTGATATCTACATGTACTGAACATGCCTGACCCCCTATCCCACAAGGGTACATCTCCATTGTCAACTACTTGGCTTTGAGGAAAGGGAAAGGTACAAATATTCAGTAAAGGTATTAAAATGATGGGTTCAAAAGCTATATGCCAAACTTTATTAAAAGTCAATCAGACTAGAATAATAAGCTGCGACTTTAAATTCATGGTGTAGATTTGCCACTGGAGGCATTATCTCCTCTCTCTTGAAATAGTCCTTTCCGACTTTATTCTACTAGTCACCATCCAGAAGCATCTATGATCTATTTGTTCTTAAAAGGGAAATATAATCATAATCCTTGTCTCTCTCCTCTCTAGTATTATGAATGCAAATGAGTGGGGATTATTACAGCAATCATAAAGGAAAGAAACAGAAGAAAAAGAAAAGATGGTGAAACTAGCTGCCAGTCACATTTTAAAAATTGTTATGTTACATTTATAATTCTTTTTAATTGAATTTATTGGGGTGACATTTGTGTTTTTTTGTTTTTTTTGGGGGGGGTGACATTTGTTAATTATACAGATTTCAGGTATACAATTCTACAATACATCATCTGTAACCAGTCACATGTTTTTAGCAATCAAAATTTTACTAGACAATCCTATAAAAGATAAAAGTGCTTCTAATCAGGTAGCAATGGGAGAGAGATTGCTATTACTCATAGCAAATTCTGGGTGAAAGGCATTGGTGAGATTGCTCAGGAAAGAAATGTGCAGAGGGGCAAGTAAGCTGAGGCCACTTTATAACTGGAGATAGGAATAATGACAAATCTGATATAGAGATTTGGGTAGGGATAAAAGTTAAAATAGAAAACTCTTTTTATTAGTAATTTATACCTTGAAAAAGTAACTTATATCTCCAACCCTCTCATAAATATGTAAATTTCACTACCTTTCTTCCTGAACTTCTGTACAATTTCCTGATATAGACAATGCTTTTCGCAGAACTGGGAAGAGTAGACTTATTTTATAACCGAGGCTCAGAGAAGTTAAGTGACTTGACCAAGGCCACACAGCCTGTGATGATAAAACTGAAACCCTGTCTCCTAGGTCAGTGCTTGTTCTAAAATTCCCCTTTATTATTCTGCTAGGTTTCATTTCACAAATTGAAAGAAAACAACCCACTATTTTCAGAGCTTAGGTATTTTTTAAAGGCCACAAAAGGACAGAGGAAAAATAAGGGGGGGGGAGGGTAAGGAGAATTGCATGTCACGTATCAAAGGACAGAAAGAGAAAGGTTTGAAAAGCCTTTGGAATTCCCCTCCCATGGCTTATACAGGGCAGGGTCAGGGGTCTCTGAGCTGCTTTTCTTTTCTTTTCTCTCTCTCTCTCTCTCTCCCTCCCTCTCTC